TATAATATTGTAAAACGTAAATCTCGCGCTTATTTTAACTATTAGTTAATTAATAGTTGATTGATAATTATATTTTACTCTTCTATCAAAAATATAAAACATTTTTTAAAAATTTAAATATTTAAAAATATTTTTAAATCTTTTAAAATATAATTATTATCTTTTTTTTAAAGTAACCTCATTAATAATAAATTTATATTTATTGTAAAGTGTTTAATAGGAATAAGTATGAAAAGATAAAATTAATTTAAAAGTAAATAATTATTTTATTGAATGATAAAATTTAATTAAAATATTTTTATATTTTTTAAGGAAAGAAGTAACTATAATGCACAAAACCTCTTAAATTTTGAAGCAATTATATCTAACTCCTTTTATTTTTAAATATTTAAAATTAACCCCCTAATTTTTAATTTTATTTTCTAAAACTCCTACTGTTATTTTGTAAATATAATTTTTGTCATATTAAATTAATACAATAAGCATAATACATGATATAAAAAAATATTTTTACTATTTGTTAACTCAATTTAAGAAGGAGTAAAGTTATAATTTTTATTTTTAACATATATGATGTTATTCTTATCTTTTCAGTTGTTCTCCTTGTTCATAAGTAACGCGACTTAAGAAAAAATTAAAATTTTATATTTTTATGAATTAAAACAATATTTTATGTTAAACAAATGAAAAGAAAAACATTTAAAAGATGCCAATAATAAGAATCGCATAAATAAAAACTTATCTTTTAATAAAAAAAACTGTTATATCGCACAAGTTGTTTTTAACAAAATTAATATAAAACACTAATAATAAAAGAATACTCTCTCTATGAGATATTTTTTGAGGGATTAGATTTTTAAAAATATAAAATATTTTTTAATTTATTAAAGTATAATTATTATTTTTTTTAAAATCATTTTATGTTTATCTTAAAGTAAAATATTTTATTAAATAAGGGTAAATATAGAAAGATAGAATTAATTTGAAAACAAGTAACTATTTTATTGAGAATAAAATTCAATTAAAAATGATTTATATTTTTAAACAAAAGGAATATATTTTATTTTAAAGCTGGATGCATTCCATTTATAACATGCCAATAAAATATTTTCTTGTTTGAATAAATACTAAAAACTTCATGTAAATAAGAAAATAACAACTGCAAATAAATAAGAGTATAAAGAAAATAAATAAAACATACATTTTGGTTCTTGCATTTTGTTCATATTTTACTATAAGTCCCTATATTTTTTTTGATATTTTGAATTTCTATATTTTTATTTTTAGATATATTTTCCCTAAAACATATAGCAGAATTTATATGACTCAACAAAAATATTTTTTTCATGTCATGTGTTATGTAAATTATATCAATATAACATGATAATAACTATATTAATAAAATAATAATTAATTAATGATAAAGGATTTTAAAAAATAAAATTAAATGTCAAGAAGTTAATTTTAAAAATTAAAAAGTGAGAGGATCATAAAGTTCAAAAAATTTTATACATCGTAGCTCTATATTTTATGCATCAAATAATTAAAAAAAATCATGAAACGTCAAGGTGATGAACTGTTTCCAATAAATAGTCAAATAAAATGCTTCTTCTTCCTACACTTTTTTTTTTCTTTCACAGTTTGACGATTTTATATATTTTAATAAATAACAAATTTAAATATTTTATAACAAATGATTGATTTATAATAAACACGAATCATGACTTACACATGCTTTTCATTTTACTGCATCTCTCTGCCTCTTGTTAAAGTGTGACACTATTCAGGTAACAAAAATGACATTGTATCAACTAAAATTAACTCTCATTGCTTAAATAAATGATTAAGAATTTAAATCTTAATCATTATGCATGTAACAATTTTTTTGAAAGAGATTTATCCTTTTCCTTTTGCATTTTAGGAGAGATAATTTATGTTATTGGCAGTGTTTATTCCTCATGCTATTTTTTTTTTAAAAAAAGTATGACAATGTTTATTATATAAGATATCTCAGATAACTTTGATTGAAATTTTGGTCCGCATTATTTTTTTGGGCCAGCTTACATTAATTTATATTCGCAACTTCTTATATTATATTCTTTCTATTTTAATTTGTAAGATATTTTTAAATAAAATCACACATGTCAATAGTATTCATTAAATATATTTTAGAAATTTATTTTAAAAAGCAAAAAACAAGCTTTTAAAAATAGCTTTCAATTAAAATTTCATTTATAAAAGAACATTTATGAAAGAAAATATAATAAAAAGTGTAATATTAAAAAAAATTAGTAATAAAATTTTATTTTTATCAAAATATTTTATATTTTAATATGTAAAATTTTTTTAAAAATATATTATAATTTAACATAGAGGCAGTATCAAAAGCTTTAAAAGCAGTTCCTTGCTTTACCACCGAAACAGAACAAGGGAGTCCTAATGAGTATTAAAATATTAAAAAAAATCTCAAGGCATCGGATTCGTTGTGGGGATTGAACGCGGCGATGTAGCATTGCACCCGATAGTTTCCGAGGGAAAATTCCTTGAGAGAATCTCTAGCGGCCATAATATTATATTAGAAAATAGTTACCGTCCTTCGGAGTTACACGTAGCCGAATCGGAACTCCGCTGATGTCAGCGATTTCACAGGAAAAAGAAAAAAAAAAAAAAAAAACCTCTCCTTTTGTTTTGTCCGTTACCCATCGCCCCTTTGATGCCGCCAAACGACAACTTACCCACCACCCACATATTATCGGCGTTTCAGTTTTCCATTTTCATGCACCCTTCCTCTTAAATGCCACTAGACAACAAACTGAAAAATACTCCTTGTCTTTAAACACAGAGGCTAATCAACTCGTTTACATACATTAAAAAATTAAATGATAGTTATTCATAAAAAAAATATTTGTTGATTTTTTTCTAAAACGCTCGCCCTCTTAATTATTTATATTTGGAGTATTATTAACATAGCATATATTTTCTTAGTTCAAAATTACAAGTTATTATTAACTAATTTTCACCCTTTTATAAAAATAGTTAACATTATTAAAAACATTACTTAGGGCTTGTTTGGCAACTTGTTTTATAAACAGTTTTCTATATTTATCTTTATTTAATAAAATAAATTAACAATAAATAAATATAAAATTTTTATTAATTTCAAATATTCATTATAAGAATTTAAAAAAATTCATTAATTATTATTAAAAACACCAAAATGCTTATGATTGGGGCTTTCACAGATTGTAACCTATGTTATAGGACTAAACTAGACAAGCAACTCAATATTTATTATAATTTACATTATCACTAGTATATTATATTTGTTAATGACAGAGTGTTGTGTGTCAATGATGAACTCTTATAAATTTTCAATAATAAATTTATTATATATTTATAATAAATTTTTTATATATCAATATGAACTAACTACACTTTCAAGTTTTTAAAAATTTGGTTCATATTTTTTTGATACAAGAATTTTTTTTGGCCATCAAACCAATTTATCCCTTATAATTTTATATCAATGAAGGGAATACGTGATATAAGAATTTGACAAATAAAAAGGTAGTTAGAAAGAAACTCATGAACATGTGAGACAAAAAATATTAAATCTTACCAAAACAAGCAAATTAATTAATAACATCCTACAATTTAAGTTTGGATGGATAAGTTTCATTAATTTATGTCCGCACGTGTTAAAAATATCTGGCAGTTACTGACACGGTCAGGTGGATATCACAACATCAATGGTAGATTGGACTGGAGGTGGCACTCTCGGCTTCTGATTTCACAGCTTTTGGATACAGTGTATTTTTGGATGCAAATGGCAAGAGCTGTTTTGTTGGTTGGCTTCATTACCTTTAGGCTCCTTTCATTGTTGATTGATTCAATTCATGTTGAGATGCTCCCCTATTATTGCCATCCCCAATCAGTTTCTGAAATTAAACTAACCATAATCATCACAAGCATTATTAAATGTTTCTTCTCAGAATCAGGAAAATGACAACGGCCGCTTTTTTGTTATCAAATTACTCGGACATGAATTAGCTATCAAATTATATATCAGGCCAATCAATGTCCAGAACGTGTGATATTTTATTCACAAAAGACGTAAGCCCCAATAACAAATGCCATCGTCATTATCTAAAAATGTTGGAGTGTGAGCAAGGCGTTTTGCGTGTCTCTCTCTTTTTTTTTCCTGGAGAAGAAATGACTCAATGATTACGACCAATCAACACAAGAGGGATTCAGATCTCAAAATATCCGAAAAGCACAAGGTGCTCCATTTCAAAGGGAGCCTGAACTGAGGGGAGTTTTGTGTCATTGGAACCCCAAAAAAAAAAAAACAAATTTTTTTAGTGCTTTTCAAATGCTTAGTTGGCGTTTAGCTCAACTTGATACATTCATATTTATTAGTTATTACAAGTTAAAATAGCAGCACGATCTCAATTTCAGACAAACAACACCAACTCACTTCATTTATTTCGGTTTGTTTTTCCCCCTTCACAAGAAAGGATTATTTTGTAAGCGTTGATGTAATTATTGGAATACAATGACTTTTCTGGAATCCTAGAGCCAACTAACCTTCTCCCTTGTTTGTTCTTTTGGAATAAACCAAGTTATGCTATCTTTTTTCATTTTCTGACCTCTAGGAGCATAGAATGAATAATAGTGGCGTGCTCAATTTGCTTTTTTTTTTTTTTTGGTCCCCCTCTCATTGCCGTCAACCTCATTGTTTGGCCTCCACAGTTTTCATCACCAAAAAAGTCTGGTCCACAAGCAAGCCAATTCATCACACCCTTTTACCATACATTGAAAGATACCTTGTCAGCCGCAAGTGTTCTTTTCAAGTTTTTCTTTATCCTCAAACCCCATGTTTACAATTTATATCGTTTTATCATCGCATAGAGAATCAGCTGACATGAAAGAATCTGCTTAACTCCAATCTGTTAACAATTTAGATCCAAAAAGAAGCAGAGAAGTAAGAAATGAACATGTACATTAACTTATCCATTTCAATTTTCCTATATACACTTCAATCCAATACAAATGTCGGAACTCCTCATCACCCTCTTGTCTTGCCCATCTACGAGGAAAGATGAATTGGTCAGGAAGTCTATGGGTATTCTGTCAGCAGTTAAGGGAAAAAAGGGAAGGTGAGGTAGGGCGGCCGGCCTACTTTTTTCCGTGGCATGTTCAGGAATATGATATAGGTACTGCATAGTACATAAAATGAATGAAATGAAAGAATATGTATTGAAGTAAAGTTAGCTTGGAGGAGTGATATCCCAAGTCACGTCTGGCCATCCTACTAGTTAAAAATTTGAGTTTGGATACATCAGGCTTTGAAGTGAGTATGAAGGGTGCCATGAGAAGATAAAAAGTGAAGAGATGGTTGATGCGCTTCTTCAAATGTCTTCAGAAAATATTCTAAATATGAAGTCACGAAAGCGTCTTGAATATTGTCTAGGGTCAACGGCTGATATTGAGGTTGGATCATATTGAAAGGACTTGTATGCATGCTCGAGCTTCTTGCTGATGTCATAGTCTTGAAGTATGTCAATCACACCAAAAAACAACACAACCTCGTAAAATTCTCCAACTGGTTCTCCTACAAGCTGTAGTTCACAATCCCCTCTTCTCACCGTTCTTTCCACCCTAGCTGGCATATTCACACCCAATTTGATACTAGCCCACCTGAAAGTACCCACGTTACATTATAACAAGCACATTGATGAGTGTAGTCTTTGTGCCTAAGGCAAGATATTTGAACATAAATTTCACCTGGAAGGATCTAAAAGAAGCTGGTCCATGTCAGCTCTTGAAATACGGGGAGTTCCATTGCCCTCCATATCAACTGAGATTGAAGAGAGTGGCGGATTCATTATTAGTTTAGCAGAATATAAGTGTCACAGACATTGAGGTTGCAGAGTACTTCTTTGAAGCATATAATAATAAAACTACCTGTAGGATTACAAGATTCTGAAGGAATAAGGTCCCCATCCTCTGATATGTCTCTGAAATGAATACCCACAAGTAGACTGTAGTCCATTATCCCCTCTTGTTCCAAAAGCTCACAATCTCTATCAATTTGCCTGTGAGGACAAACAACATAACTAGCATGCTCAGTCAATCTGACTAGGAGATGGAAAAAGTAAATACCATATTCTTGGCTTTGCAGTGAAAAAAAAAAAAAATCTTCTATTACCTGCAAAACTCCTGAAACCAAGATTTTTGCAATCGGAATATAAAGTTAAGATCAAGATCTTTAAGGATGGTTGTTTCATCAATCTCTGTTTCAGGTTTATCTGTGATACGGCCAAGCGAAGAACCCTTCAAATCAAAGCGTCTATGAATGGTGTACTCAGAACAGAATAGATTTCCCATTATGATAAATCGAACCTAAAAAAAATCATTCACAATGTCTCAGAAAAATTTATAGAATATGCTATTCTGTATTCTTCATAATAGCAATATGAATTCCACCTTCTTCTGAGCAGTTCCTGTTAACTTTACACAATGCAGACCATAAAATTTAGTCACTAGTGTATTTTCAAAGGATCGAACATGATTGTAGTAGGCTGGAAGCATTCTCAAGAGCACCTACAATTGAAATCCAACACGGCCAAATTAGTTGCTAAAAAGAGGGAAATGCCTCAAATTATAAGAACCTTTAGGTGGGGGCAAGGCTTAAGTGATATTCACTTTTACTTCAGCTTTTCTCATTGTCTTGATCATGTAACGGTCATCGTTGGTCAAGTAAAAGAAGCTGCCACTTTTACCAGGAGAGGAAAATTCACGAAGGGCATCATTTCCACATATGGATATCATGTAATCAGCTGGATCCACCTTGAATAGCTTCCTTAAAGTCCTGAGCATAGATTATGATGGGAGACCAAGTCATATGTTAATGACCAAAGGAGCATTCATAAAGTAATTCTAACATAGGGAACTAAAATGCATGAACTAAAAAAATAAAATTAAAAAAAAAAGAATTAGCTCATATATATGTCATATCTTCAATGACATATGGACTATTGATAAGTAAATGACTTGGTATCATTCTTTGAAAGAAAGAAAGCAAGCAGATCAAGGTATATACCTAAAAACTACAGGGCAATAGTCCTTCCACCTAAACTCTGTGGATGAATGAGGTGGGGTATATTTAGATCCTTCAGGGGGAAATCTTGTCCAAACTTTCTCCTTGGGATCAAAAGCTGAAGGTTTCAAATCAAGAGATGCAGAAGGGGCAGGCCTTCCAACAGAATGCCTGTTCAAAATTCACACACAATCTGTAAAATGGAAAACACTGTAGATTTTTACAATGACTGCCAATTAAGAATATGAAGACAACCTAATCCCCAGTTGCAAATTGAGCATGAGGTCAAAATTTTTGTGGCCTTTGCATATGATCTCTCCCTGCCTCTTAGATTTTCTGGGAGCTTTAAGTGGACCCCCTCTTGAAATAGCATCATCAACTATATGCATGTTCAACAAATCCTCATGTAATGCTTTGACCGCAGTAGGAGTTGAATCACCAACAGCGTCAGTATCAATGACCGGAACATCCACCCCACCATCCCATAAATTCATTCTATCATACGGCTTCTCAACACCCACACTCACCCTCCCATCCACTGACCTTCTCCTTGGCTTTCCATCCCCAGTCTTGGTGGATCTCCAAACTGCAAGCTTCTTTTGAGATGGCAAAATTGAAACCTTCTCTCCTGGACAAACCTGAAACTCACTCAACTCATTGTACACTTCTTGAGGATCCCATTCTAAATGTGCTTCTTGTGATGATCCTACTGGATAATACGTTCCATTTTGTTCTTTAGGATCTTTACTCCAGTTACCCACATAAACGCTCCCATCTGGCCATTGAAAACTTCCACTTCCTTTGGGCAAACCATCTTCCCAATACCCATCATACCTATTCCCATTTGTCCACACAAACGACCCTTTCCCCCATATACATCCATTCCTCCATTCTCCGGAATATTGATTCCCATTCTTCCACAAGTAATTCCCCTGACCATCCTCTAGCCCTCGTTTCCATTCTCCTTCATACCTATCTCCATTCAAGAAACACTTCACTCCTTGGCCGTGCTTTAGATTCATACTCCATTGTCCCTTGTAGGTTTCACCATTAGGGGCCGTGTAGGTTCCTGTTCCATCCATGTAGCCACTTTTAAATTCACCTTCGTATATGGCCCCTGAAGGCCAGCTGAACCTTCCTCTTCCCATGGTCTTGCCTTTATGCCACTCTCCAACGTACATGCACCCATCAGTCCACAAGTATTTGCCCTGACCATGTGGAAAACTATCTGCCCATTGGCCTTTATAGTAATCCCCATTAGGAAGAACCTTCTCTGATAAGTATATTTCTAACGCTTCTGGGTTTTCATCGTGGTGGCTTCCTTCGTCTGAGTGAGCCATATACACCGTCCCTAACCCGAATATGCTGTTCGCGCGCTTCTTCGCAACTGCCTGCGTCTTCCGCACCGTGAATTCCCATGCCTTCATAACTCCGCTATCTCTACTAATCATTTCTCTCTATCCGCAAAACTGTGTTCTGGCCAAAATCTAAGCTTGTCTAAGGAAAATCATAGATGCCCAAAAGAAGAAATTGAATTAAGAGAAATATTTCATGCATCCCACAGGACCAAAATGAATTGGGAGCAAAAAATATCACAAGCCTGGGATGCTCCACCAATGCTGGAACATTTAAGTGGGGTAAGAAAATTACATGGAACTCTCTGCTCTGGGGTAATATTTTTCGAGTTTCTTATGCTCCTAGGGAAGAATTTCCACATTGTCCGACGAATTTCTGGTGTAACTTGTCAACCAAGCTAACGAATTGGGTTGTTTGAAGTCAAAACGTTGGAAATTGTGTCGTGCAGTGCAGTTTTTGCTCGGATGTTTGTAATTGCATTTCGCGATTGAGAGGAAGACTCGTTCTTGTCCTACAACCTCTAAGAACCATGACGTGATGTGAAGGAATCGGACCCTAAATCAAGGTGTGTGTTTGTTTACTATCCGTAGATTCCCCAACAGATTTTCCTATTCTTTTTCGCTTTTGCCCACAACAGATTTTCCAATTCGGGCAAGTTGATTGAGAAAGAAATGAAAGACATAGTTTTTCGCTAATAACCAAACGATGGTGGTACTGATCCAAATCAGAATTTTCAAGTACTGATTTGACTGCTTAACCTCTTTGGTTGGTTTCGTTGAAAAATGACGGTCAACGATTTGGAAGGAAGAAAGTGATATTAATAACACACAGAAACAAATCACGCCCTGTTATCATAACAGAATAAACTGATCGAGGAGTCAATTTAATTGAATATTTGAATGGCTATCGCTCCGGCCCCAAAAAAAAAAAAATACGGGTAGAGAATAGCTATGGGTTGTTAAACATTATTGTGTATTTAACATAATAATTGTCTGAATTAATTAAACTAACAAAGTTTGCCTATATTCTTGGGTGTGTACGACTCAATGCGAGTCCAACGGGTGGACAATCCAATTCAGGATCAAGTTCATTCATTGAATGCTATTAGTCTATTATATGCAAGGAAGAAGGCTGAAACCCGAATGTTTCAGATGCAGCATTGTTTCTTCGGTGCACCTATGCTCCCTCTTGTATTTAAGATAGGATAAATTTAATCAGTTTCACATTTATTAAAAGGTTATAGTTGTATTCTAAAAATTATTTAAATATATGTAATTTTTCATTTTGTCTTTTTTGTAATTACTAACTATAATAAATTGATTTTTAGAAATTCAAACTATGATATATAAATAAGGGGTAAAATTAAAAAATAAAATTAATTACTTTAACTCTGCTCTATATAAAACAAAATTCAAAATTTGCCTTGCGTCAGATATCGCGGGAAGTATACGTTGAAATTTGTCCCAAAATCGGGTGCTGTATTAGCATCGAAAATAATAATGCCTCAAACTGGAATATGATATTTGAAAAAAAAAAAAAAAATTTGTTCTGTCAGGTTTTAAAATTTAAATTCAATTGATGGACTTTCGCGTTCATTGTATCTTTGGAAAACATGGAGGATGCTTGCGTCGGGAGGCTCCATTTTTTTTTTTTGGGGGGGGGGGGGGGGGATGGGAAGTAATGAGTAGGCTCGTTTTTTGTTTTTTATTTATCTAACAAAGTAGGCATCATGATAACTTAGAATAGCAATCGATATTTAATATAAGAAAATAACATTTAAGATTTCTCAAAAAAAATTATTATAATAAAAGTTTATAAATTTCATATTAGATCTTGTCTAGTAAAAATATGTATATATTATTGTTAAAAGTTGAATATTGACTTATAATATGTTTTTTTAAGACAATATTCAATATGAAATTTATGGAATTGTATTGTAATAAATTTGTTTAAAAGGGCCTTTGATATCTTTCTCTCTCAAATATATAACCTCTCTTGTGAAAAACTTTACCTCTAAGGCTACCAATTAGACACTCATTTTTATTTTCAAAGAGGGAATAAATTTGTTGAATGATGTTTTTCCATAACGTGCGGAATGAAATTGTCCGAGAAAATTAGAGAGAGATTGCAAGCTAGTAGGAATTTGATATAATAAAAATAATTAATTTTTTATAACATAACAAATTTAAATTTAAATTTTTATTGAGGAATATATTCGTGTTTAATATTTAACAATATCTTGAATAAAATTATATCTAATAAAAAAGTAATATTAACTGCAGAGGACTTGGTCAGTAAATACAAACTTGATAATCGTACGGCCCAAAAAGAAGCCAATGAGGAAAAAAGCTCAGTAATCAATGATAATATCCATGTGAAGGCCCGTTTTGAGCCGTCGTATTTTGCAACCTGAAACTAGCTACTGCTGCATCTTGCGGAAAAATGTGAATTGACCCCCGAAAAAATAAAATGTAATTAGATGAACTAGTAATGTTTTTCGATATTATACAGAGTTAAGATGAGGTGTGTTATTTATTTATGACTTGTGTTGGTCAAATTTGCAATAAATTTTTTGCTAAAAATGTATAAAAAAAAATTGAACATTGAAGCAGTAATACATGAATCTCTTCACTTTTAATAGTTTAAAATTAACCCCTTTAACTTGAAAAATAATCCTACTGTTAATTATATTTTTTCTTCATAAGATCTAAAATATCATTTAATTAATAAAATATTCTTAAACAAGACATTATATTATAGAATTATGACTAATTAATTTCTTATAGTTTTTGAATAATTAGAGCATTAATAACCAAAAAAATATTAGTTCATCATATAAAATTTAAAATACTTACTTTTGTATTAATTTTATTCATTTTTTAGTTATCAATTGTGCATGATTTTCTTGTATTAAAGGATGAATTAATCTAACATCGTAATTTTTAAAATTGTGAATACTTTAGTCATGTATATTTCATTAATCTGACCTAAAATTATAAATAAAAACTTATCCTTTAAAACAATAAAACTAATATAAACTTAAATATTTAAAATTTTATACAGTAATAATAACATATTTTTGTTATCAATGACTCAACTATTTAAAAAATATAAAAAATTAATTATAAATAATTATACAATATAATGTTTTTATTTAATAATATTTTTTAATTAAATGACATTTTAACTCTTATAAAAAAATAATATAATCAATAGTATGAGTTTGAGAAAACAAAATTAAAAATAAAAGGAATTGATTTTAAATTTTTAAAGGTAGCAAGAGTAATATATAACTGTCTCAAAATTAGAAAGGTTTTACATATTTTAACCTAAATTTTCATATCTACATTAACATATATTAAAAAAAATCTGCATATCTACAGTATTTAGTGCTCATCCGTTACAACAATCAGACAGTTGTCTAGTTAGTGGGCACACGGTCTAAGGTCGGGATATTTTTCACGGTGCGCATGATAAAATCTAAACCAAGCTGCGCACTATGTGTCATAGACAATACACATTAATTTTCACTACCCGCGTGCCTAGGGGGAAAAAAAACTGTGGGCTGTTTTGTAAGCAAACAGACATACACACATTTAAATTAACTATATTTACTATTAAATTATACTGTTCGTGTGAAATATGAATATATAGTACGTGTTTTATTTTTAAAGAAAATATCATTTAAGAATCAATGAGAATATTTAATATCAATCAAGAATTAAAAGATTTTAAATATCACTGTAAGATTGAGAGACTGATTTGAAAATATAAAAACTATGTCTAATTTATTTTATATTATATGTTGATATCGATGTTAATAACTAGCAAGGGAATACGAAGGAAAAATGGAAAAGCATCTGCATAAAAACACTGATCCTTCAGACTAAAAAAGATTGAAATATTAGACTATTCTTTTGGGTTGGACTGGATAAAAGATTGAACATCTAAACTACTTGATCCAGTCCAATCCTATTAGTTTATTTAATATAATTATAATTAATTTATTTTTAACAAATGTTTTAAGTATAATTGATACTAAGGAGATAATTATATGAAGATTTGTTGAGTTTGTTTCTAAATTGTTGTTGTAATGTATTGTTGTTAAAGTTAATTGAGTGTTATTTTTGTTTAAGTTATAAATTTAAATTATTTAGACTGTAACTGAAATATTTTTTCTTCTTGTTGAAAATTATTATAGATTTATTATGATTATAGGTGTTTTTATTATATTAATTGAGTTTATTATGTTAAAATGAATTACTGCCTCTCGTAGAGAAAAAAGGGGGAAAAAAGCTAAGTGAACACTGAACTAACAAGATCAGTCTCCCAGTCCTATGAACCTAATTTGGTCTTATTAAACTTCAGATTATTATTGGACAAGACTAAACTATATGTTGCCTAATCAAGTCCTTTTCATAAAAGAGATTGGACTTCGAGTCTGGTCAAAGTCCAATGTCGTTTTGTCCTTCGTGCAACCCTAATAATACTCCCTCTATTTTAATTTACAAAGAACTATTTGAAGCCTATGTTCCATAATTCATAGTATAAAGCATTTTGCAGATTAAGTAAAATATTCAATGATATTTTACTAAATTACACCTCATAGTCAGTAATAACTAATGAGGTTAACTGTTAAGAGAATGTCAATTGTACTAGTAGTTAATGAAGGAGGCATATTTGAAAATAATATTTCAAGATATCAAAAAATTATAGTTAATTGGCATTTGATATGTGAGGTGGCTGTATGGTTCATGCGGTATTGAATGAATAAAATGACATTTGATCTTAACTTTGAGTCCTCCAAGGTTTTTGCTATGAGTATTTTGCAATATGCTGATAGAATTAAGAAAGCTTATGATGTGGATGACAATATTTGTCTCAAGCATTGAGATGATATCTAGTGGTGGCCGCTTGAAGAGATTGGTTAAAGCTCAATATTGATGGTGCTGCTAAAGGGTGACTTGGGGACGCTGGTTGTAGAGGAGTCATACAGGATTCTACTGGCGACTGAAAAGGGAATTTTGTTAATAGAGTATGTAGGTATAGCTTTGAAGGCAGAGTTATGGAGATTATAGTCTGAGTTCCTCTTGTTAAAAAGCTTGGATCTAAGGAAGGTTATTATTGAATCTAACTCTACTGCACTTGTACATATGCTGAAATAGATGTTGTCATGTTCTTGTGTGAAGAATCGATTCCTTTGTCAAATCCAGACTATGCTTGAATCTAGCTGGAATATCCGCGTGACACATACTTATCAAAAAAGGGAATTTTAGTGCGGATCAGTTGGCTAATTGGAGCCTCTCATAGGAATGTGAACATCAAGTTTTGAGTGAGCCTCCTGAAAGCTTGCTTGATGTACTATATAGGGATAGACTGGGCTTGACTTGTCTACAGTTAGCTTCAGTCTAATTTTATTTGGGCTTTGCCCCTCTATGTACCAAAAAAAAAATGTAGAAACAAGGGCAATACATTTGATGCATATTCAGTGAATAATTTTATGAAGGTGACAATTACAAGTTTCCAACTAATAAGCAATGACATTTGATGATATAAAGGTGAGAACTGAAAAAAAAAGAAACATTTAAATATACTAAAATTATATAAGATATTTTTAATTAAATTATATTTTTAAATAAATTAGTTATT